AATTTAAAGGCTAAAAACATAACTTTCATAATTTTCTCTTCTTTTCAGGACTGCTCTCCCTTTCATGCAGATCTTTCAGGTTTAAATGTTAAATTACAGCATGATTCTATGGCAAATAAATTCATTTGTTTTATCCAGGTGACTAAACGCACATCCCAAAATGACAAGCACTAGATGCTGTTAGTACACAGTAGCTCTAGTACAGTAGTCAATAGAGCTTTGAAAAGACTGCTTATTTTTATACTTACTTTGAAAGGGCATCTTACAACCTTCCACCCCCCAAACCTACATTCTCTACTTCCTTACCTTGGCTTCAGGACAGAAAGGCACCAACCCGCTCTTCAAGAAGATTCTCAGAGGCTAGAGAAATTTCCAAATAGCACGTAGCAGTATTGGGGAACCCAACAGAGCACTGTGGCTGAGCATGCAGGAAGTCTTGAGACTTGAGAGTAGGTTTAGACTGCACCAGAAAGAGACCAGTGGTCTTTTCCACATTTAGCTACTAGTCTGTCTAGATGACTTTGGGTGTGTCCTTTAACCTCTACCTCAGATTCCCCATCTATACAATGGAGGATAATAACTTCTTTAAAGTGCTCTGATACTCATGAAAAATGCTATCTATAGAAGAGCTAGGTGTAACCTGGGAACAGGCAGGAGCTTAGTAGTCATAAATGGCAACCAGAACAAAACGGGCCTGAAAAATATGGGGGCCTGGTATGTTCTAAGAGAAGCCTCCCATTTTTTAAATAGGAAAGTAGGGCAGGAAGGGACCTCCTAAGAGTGATCCAATTTGGGGATAGCCTATGAGCTTGTAGCCCCATTCCTTGAGCCCAACTATTTATGTGAAACTACACTGACTGGAGCTTGAAGGCTTTTTTTCCTTTCTCTCTTTAATATAATGGGCACATTTTGCTAATACTGTAGAAATTAAGAAAAAATAGCCTGACAAGATCCTTTTCATATTTTTAATTCACGTGCTACCTGGCTCATCTATGAAAGTTTCTATAAGTTTCTAAGTGCAAATCTTGCTTTATGCAACTATTCGTTTGAAATGGCTCTTTGAAAATGGGATTACTTCTACTGTAGGAAGAACGGAGGAAAGTTAGTTACATCAAAGGTGCCTCAATGGTTAGTGTGACCTTGACTGACTACTGTAGGAAAGTTATATTCCTTTAGTGTATTGATTTCAGATCGGTCAGAGGGAGTAGCCATAATCTTCCCACCTTTAAACTTCCCAGATTTTTTTACAGGGGGAAAAAAGAAAAAAGTGTTCCATTGTTGGTAGCAAAAGTGGGAAGATTAAGAGAGACAATATATGCTGGCAATCTGACCAGCATTGCACAAACTACCACTGGGAAAAGTTAAGACAATATGTCTTAAAATGTCTGCAGTCACTTTAGCTATTGATAACAGTGGCACTGCACCGAGCTGCAATTCCCCTCCCCCAGGAAATAGGGTTAACAACTTCAGAGGGACACAACTACCACTTAAAGCCTTTAGTCTTCCTTTGGTTTAGCAAGCGTTTAATATAGCTTCGACAACACCAAATATTCAAAATCATGAATAAAATTTGGGAGATAAGAAACAAGGTTTTTCTCTTTTACTTGCTCTGTGATTATTGAGCTTTTAGGGAGAGGGTCACATCTGGAAGGCTGTCTTTACAATCAGGAATGCTAGGAACTTTTTATTTTTTAATGAAAGAAAAGAGTCTCACATAATCAAGTGACATCAATATATAGTGTGGAACTTCAAGAAAAACATGAAATAGTGAGAAATGATGCAGTCACAACAGTTGGCAATAGAGTTATACATCTAGGAATATGTAGCTTTAATTCTGAAAGTCTATAGAAATTCTGATTTCTGAAGTAAGCAAGATAAAATATATAATTTGTGAGAATCATATTAATTCATGACAACTTATTTTATCATATATATGTCCCATGTTTATAGATTTTCATTTTCAAAACAAGAGTATTTGACAATTTGAGGGATTTTTGCTGCCATGCAGCAAGTGATCTCATTCTTTGGGGGTACAATATAAATATCTATTACACAACCATAACCTTTACCCACTTAAATAGCAGTGCTACAGCAAAAAAAAAGATGAAAAAGGGTGAAAAATGACTAAGTGTAATTCATGAGGTTCCAGATAATTTGGAAATCAATGATGCAAGTTAACTCCAATGCTCAGACTGGAAATATTTTGTTTCTAATTTTCCATTTCTACAAATCAAATTTAAAATCCAGAGTCAAGCTGAATATTCTTGTTCTGATGCTTCACTGATTAAAATAAAAGATATGGGGAACTACTCTTGCTCTCAACACTACACAAATCAGTTCTTTTACTGGGCTTGCAACAAGGATCAAGGATTGGAGCAACCAATTATGCTGATGCACAAGGAAATGGAATCATGTTTAGCTAGGAAAAAAACATAGTCACTTGTAATTGCAGATATAGACCAATAAACTAAAAGCAGCTTTCTGCATGATGCCACTATCACTAGCCATTTTTCAGATTAAGTCCATGCTTTAGAGGCCATGCTTATGACAAGCCACTATTTCTATTTGTCTTTTTACATAACTTTCACAGAATTATCAACTTTCAGTTACTTAAAAAGGGAAAAAACCTCTCTCTCTCTCATCCTATAAAAGTAACAACAATTATAATGTGGTTATGTTAACTCATGCCCACATGCAAAACACCCCTTGAAGGGAAACTTAAGTCAAATAAGTGTCTCATATTTATTTCTTTGGTTAATGTCAGTCCTTTCTATTTCTTGTAGGAAGGGTACATCCAACTCCTGTGAAAGTTGCATCCTACATTCAACCTCCCTCTCCTCGGCAGTGGTTCTAAGCTGTCATGGAAATCACAATCAAGAGGGCGATGTAGTTTCACATAAGTAGCTAGGGCTAACCTTATACGGTAATTTGAATACCAGCACAGCTCTTGCACTTACTCAATGGGAAACAGGGCTGAAAACACAGCTATGTAGTTACATTTATACTGACCTTGCTAAATAGATGAGCTTCTAACTATATTTTGGACCAGTTACCATGATTTATACGCTTCTTTGTCTCTTCATACAAACTGTAGGGGGGGGGGGACCCTAAAAGGTATAAATGCAAATACCGTAAGTAGGTCCGCATCAGATAGAATGGAACCAAATTTTCTGCCATAAAGGAAAGCAATCATATCATGACTGTTCAGGCACCCTATGAAAACAGAAGATTCCAGGTCTGACAATCTGAGAGCAAATGCCCTTGTTCATGTAACTATTAAGAAAGCTACAGGACCAGGTGTCATCTACTTATTACTCAGTACATTGTTTTCTCTCCAGTTATCCTAGTGTCTTCATCGTTTTTGAATGAGTGAGATAGAATTGATTATAGAATTCCATGGCACCTTGGTGGTAGAGTAACAGCAATTCAATGATTTGCTGAATTGAATATTAATTCCTACTCTATGAATAGGTTTTGCAAAGCTATAAGCACCATTTCCTGTGTATACCATGCCTTGAAACTTCATTTTGAAGCTTCTTGTGGCAAGAAGCAACAACAGCAGCAGCTTTTGGTTATCTGCTTGATTGCTTTGTTTAGGGAATGGAGTTTAAATCACAGGATGCTACTTTCTGCCATGGTCCCTTTGGAACAGGTAACAACATACTTTGGATTTTCATGAGAAAGGGAGTTTTGCTAATCTTAAAAGGTTTCCAAGGTGTTCTCTTTCCACGTAAAAAAAGGGCCAGGCTTTGTGACACATATCATTACTACATGATTTCTACTCATGCAAGGTGGCTAATTCTTAAGAGGGATAGTGGTGTGTTACTGCTCTCTGCTTTTTGTCATCTGAGGATAATGTGCCTGCAGGTCATTTTTTTCTATGAAGAGAAGAGCTCCTCAGTGAGCTGTATTCTGGGTTTCTGAAGCAATGTGAACTCAAACTGTACAGGGTGACTGTTGCCAACACAGTAAAGGACACACACACTACACTATATACTTGATTCTAAGTGTCCCACTTCCCCCACACAATTTAGCACAGGGCAGCAGTTCCCAAACTCTGACAAGATTGTGCACCACCAATTTAAAACATTACAACCTTAAGTACCACCAGCAAATCTTTGTCATTTAAATTATAATACATCTGTTAATGTGTACCACTGACAGGCTGTCTGCGTACCGCTGGTGGTACCTGTACCACAGACTGGGAACCGCTGGCATAGGGGAACAAGCACCCCATCTTACAATTGAGTGCAGGAAAGGGGGGCAGGCAGCTACCGTGGCTTGGGCTCCAGCCCCTAACGCAGGGTTGTGGCCAAAGCTGCAGATGCTCTCCCAAACTCCTCCCCTGCAGCCTCTTCCCTCCCACCCCGCTTGCCTTTATTCCACACCAACAGACTCTATGCATGCTGCAGCCTGGGGCACTGAGCACAGCCACAGCTTGTAGCAGCTAGAGGCATCCTGCATAGCTACTATGTGAGTGGGGCCAGGCTGGGACTGAGCTCAGTGTCCAAGGCTAACAGAAACAGCCTGGAGCAGAGGCAGAGGCTGGAGGTTGGCAGGCAAAGGGCAGTGGGTGAGGCACAAGCAGTCAAAGCACCTGTGTACCCATTGTCTGCCCTCCTGCAGTGGTGGGGGGTATGAATTAGACAGCCCTCCCAAAACTGATTTCTAGATGGAAAATTGTAACAAATGGATATAGTTTCCATGCAAATAAACTAATACTTAAGTAAATATGGCACTTTTTAAAAAATGCTGTGGTTTGGAAGGGGGGACGGAAGGGAGGGAGTGAAGAGAATAACTTACTGAGATTGGTTGCAAAAATGTGAAAATTGATAAACTGATTAAGTCTATACTTACCTTTATTGCTTAAACACTTCTAAGCAATAGTATAATCAAGGAAGTCTGTGACTTGTTCAGAAAAGTAGATACCCCTAGCACTGTAAAATGTATTTACTAAATACTCACATACAGATGTCTTGAAATAGACAGGACACTACTACATTTTAAAAGTTTATTAACACTTCAGTTTAATGCCCTTGTAAAAGCCTGAAAAAAAGTATCTGATAACTGATTTTGTCCTTTCCCAGTTGGCAAAGACTTTTTTCTCCCTTGAGACCAGTGAAGCTCAAGTTAGTGTTTTGTTGATTTCCTATATGCAGGTCAGCTTCAATCATAGCAGCAATAGCATGCAGGATTCTGGATGAGATTATCTGTCAATTGCTTATAGAGAACTAGTAAAAATGCACAAATACTTTGTACGTTGATGCTATTTGCATTTTTTTTTCTTTAAAAGTACTCATAAATGGGTAGACTAATTTACTTACTATAGTAATTTTAAAGTAGGCCAATGTTTGGGATCTAAAAGTTGCTTCAAAACCCAAGACGGAATATTTTTCTATTTCTGCACTGTTATATTACCCTTTTTAAAAAGTGCTAATCCATAAAAAGCTTAACACATTATGCACTTTGGATACAAGAAACTTGTTCCATCTTGCGTTGTGGAAAAGCAAAAGTGTAATCTTCATTTTTAATTGAACTACAGCTGTGCATTTAACTTCACATGACTACATGGCCTTTATCATTTAACCATAATATCGCTATTAGCAGTGAGGATTATATTTCCCCATGCTTACATACACAAGTAAGCAAGCAGACAAAGTAAGACATTCTAACCATTTCAGGAACAGAGACAAACAATTTAATCCATATTACATAATTCACTGAATACAGTTGATCTCATCCAAAGTCACTCCTGAGAGCAAAATAGTTTCAGCATTACATTTTATATACAGCTATGAAGGGATTACTGGAAACCAGAAGAGTCTCCTTATACCATGGTATATATACTGGTTATGATGCCTGTTTATGCTTTCTTTCTGCAGAGAATTAGTCAAATCATAATATAGCTTGTTACCACCTGCTTGGTATTAAAAAACAGATTAATATGCATTTTTATAATTTCTCTCTTACAGGTGGCCCTTTCCACACTGAAGTAGTAATGCCAGACATCCAGCTAAAGTCAGGTGCATTGAAAAATGACTCTTTCTGCTCTATAGCCCAGAAAATACTGGCCATAATTACAAATCTTTATATACACTAGTTTAACTGTAAACAACACGTAGAAGTCCTCTCCGTTTTTCCCCTTACACAATGGAGTAATTGCTCTGTCTGAACCAAACTACATCCTGCACGCTACAGCCTGTTATTTTCCATGCTATCAGCTTCCTTTGAAAAACAGGCTCATGAAGTCTGATGCAACCCCATTTTGATAGAGCATAAATTAGAGAATTATAACAACTTGTGATCCAACAGAATCAAAATAATTTAGACTTTAGCATATTTTTCCAGTCATTAGGGTGAGGAGACTTGAATGCAGATACTGGAACATACAACTGGAAACATCTGTACTTGCATGCTTTTAAGTGAAAAGATAAGCAATATTTGTAATTTTTTCATCGTCTTCCTTGCACATATGCAAGATGTTTTATAAAAGTTTACCACAGATAGCTATGACAGTACATGATGTAATTATAACTTTCATTAAAAAAGCACTAGAAATTAAAGGCAACCAAGATAATGTATGTATTCTCTAGGACAAGTTTTTTCTCAGCTACACAATGTGTGTATACACCAAGGTCTAACACACTTAGCTGCACTACATCAAGTCAAGCTGTTCAAAAAACACACATAATTTTGCTTACAGGAGTATTTTCCGTCCACAATTTGCCATTTAACAAGTAATTTCCTGTATAGGATTATGTTTAAAATCAGAAGTATGGATATATTTTGTTCCGATACTACAGTCAGTTTTTTTTAATGACATGTATATCAGAAATGAGGCAAGACATAAGATTAAGTGCAGGGAAGCATTTCAGACCCAATAAATGCATTTTTTAAACTTAGCTATACATGGTTAGTAACACAGAGAAATTTTACTAACAGTTGCATAAAATGATTTTTTTTTAATTTTTGGACGTTGAGTAACCGAGGCTTACTCAGCACACAATTCCTCTGCATCACAGAAATTCATTTTGAGTGTTTAATTACAAAAAAAATTGCATTTAAGAATATTTGCTAAAGTGGTATTACAAACATAACAGATAAGATAGTAAACTTGGATGGAGTACCCTTTATGAAATCCAAGAATCTGTTGTCCCTTGAAAGATATGCAACACACCCAAAAATGGAACAGAAGGCTGACTGCTCTCTGCCCACACAATCCAAGCAAATTTTTAATACCATGTGCTAAATACATTTGTCTACCAATTTTTATACCTGCTGGATAATCCAAATTATTCTTATGTCTTAACACATGTTGGATAATTATTTCTATTGCTGAAGCAGCCAGAAAATGGTTCTTTAAATAAATAAAAAGGAAACCTCCTCCCCCCCAAAACTTTAATTACAACAGTCTAAGCCAAGGATTTAAGCAGGTAAATTTTAAATTAGCCATTTGTTACATGTTGCAAGCTACCATGAACTTAAGAATTCCTTCTAGGAGTACACCACCACACAAACAGGCTACCCAGCAGAAAAATCTGTTAACAATTTTATTTCTCTTTTAATGTTAAATATCATGGGACAGGATTGTAAGGATGAAAAACTGTCAACAACTGCCTCACAAGGGATAAGAAAAAAAATTCTGCCATGATATTAGCAAAGAAAGATAAAGGAGAAAATGTACACAGTAAGAGGCACCATTCCCCTAGAACACCTCTTGTCATATTCCTGAATGAGTGGGATTAAGCAATCTAATAAATCATTTTTCAAGAGGTAACAGCAACAGATAAAATTTTAAAGGATTATTAAAATAACATTTACAAGACTTTGAACAATTTCTGAACTCTTATTAAAACCACAAAAAGAAAGAACAATTCTTTATTTATGAATTTTCATAAAGGACTGAATGTGCAACTGACACCTGCTATTGATGATTTAAATGTACAATTTTGTCCAGTAGCCGAACAGTTTGTCTTTTATTTTAATTGTGTTTTCTAACCGTGCGAGATCATTAAAGGCAAAGCCTGTATGACGCTGTACACAAAAATGGTCACTTGGGCCATACTACCAATGAAGTGGTAGGTAAACAAATCTTTTCCTGGCCAAGAAACAAAAAGGAAGCCGCACTCTGCATGCTTCTCTCTCTCTCTCTCACTCTCTACAAGATGAATTTCCCTAAGAAGAATCCAATGAAAATGGCTGCAATTACAACAAGAAGAGAGGGAAGAGGATTGGAGCCATTCTCTCTGAGAGCCAAGGCTGTGGGTGATCCAGATTTATCTGAGCGTGCTACCTTTCTGAGCCTCAAGTCTTCCTCCTGAAAAGAAAAAAAAATGGAAGAATTTGTGAATAAGATACCTATGAGAAAAAAATTTAACCAGGAACCTGAATCTAAAAACATTTATGATCATAAAAAAATAATAATTGCCATTACTTATTATTTAAACTATGCTATACAAGAAAAGCCATGACAAAGTAAATTTGAATCCATCATAATTGTTCTTAATTGAATAACTAATACACAATTTTTTACCCTGCCCCTGTGCATACATCTTAATTAAAGGGAACAAAACATTTAACTGAAAACTTCATAAGATCCATCTTTTAGTTGCACATTAAAAATTGAATAGTAAATAAAAAGGATACCTGAAATCTATATTTTACGCTTTATTTTGCTGTATTCTCCAATATTGCTACATTACAGTTTTAGCTATTAGCGTTATCTCAGGTTCCTTTTTAAAAATAATTATTGCCAATATAGAAGCCTTTAGGCTATGATAATCACATGTAACTGTATGCTGTAAAGCAGGGGTTCCCAACCCCTGGTTCCGCAGGAGGGTCAGCTGCTGGAACAGAAGTGACCGCTGACCAGCACACTGCAGACTGGAAGTGACAAGCATACTGTGGACCAACAGCTAACCCTTTTTTTTCGCTGAGTATACCGAGTATAAAACAGGGTTGGCTGCCTGCCCACAGTGTGCTGCTGGTCTCCAGTTTGTCAGTCCGCAGCATAAAAAAAGGTTGGGAACCCCCAAGGTAAGGTATTTAAAAAATAGCAGTATACAAAACCAAAAGAAAGTACGAACAAGTTGGCCACAACTAATATGCCAAAATTTCATCATTTTAGATTAAATTTAGTGCTGTTAGTTTAGATCTCACCTATATGTTCCTGCATACCTATACATACACTCAAAGGATATCACCGTGTTTCATAAAAACTGACCAGAACTGCCAAGACTGAAAGGACAGCCAGCATTCTGTTTCAAAAGGACACAATTCATTCCATTCTATCGTAACAAATAGTTAACTTGCAGAACTTTAGTATCTTAGCAGTATAAAAAAATGTATTGACGAAGTCTCAATAATTGGCGAGTATTTCAAATATACTTCTCATTATCCTGTGCTGCATATGTTCTTGCATATGGAATAATAATTCTTAGATCACTTGTACTTTAAAAACATTTTAATAAATTCACTTCTTGCATTTTACACAGAAGCAGGATTTTAAAATGAGAAGAGTGACAAAATGGCTAAGACAGTTCTGAAGAAAGAACCTTTGATAAATCTTTGTTCTTAGAAAAATAAATGTTACATCACAAATGAGCCCTGACAAACTGATAACAGTACCTTAATCTCTCTAAATAGGCCTGTCTCATTCTCCAAATGAGTTCCTTTAAGCATAATTTCATTTGCATGACTGAACATAAATTTATGGCTTTTAAATCAGATGCTTAGGAGCAACTCATTTTAATATAAAACACATTAGAGAACTTACTTTCAGGTGCCGATTTTCATCTGACAGTTTCATCACTTCACCCTGAAGTCTTTTGCATTCTTCCACTAGTTTCCTTGTTTCGGTATCATTAAGTGAAACACTATGTGGTTTTGGCATCGGTCCATCCTGTTTAGATGTATTCAGCACTGGGGCAGACTTGCTTGATTCTATATCATTCTACAAATATTAAGAACAACTTAAGAATTTTACTTTTCAAGATGTAAATATTATTTAGATCTCAAAAACTGAAAAAAGCAAACTATTACTACAGCATAGTTCAATAAAGTTAATATTTATTACTTATCTAAACAATGGAAAGATTTTTGCCATTGATTTTTCAACCTTCATTTGTAAGAACCTTAGAAGTCATCAGGACATTGCACTGTTTGTAGTTAGTGCTTCTGCCTTTGAGGAAAAAAAAGTTCTCTCAAACTAACTTGACCCAACAGGCATCCAAAGATAACTTAAGACGTGAACCTCCATTTGTACTTGAAAAGAAAAAGGTAAAAAAAAAATAATTAAGGTGACAAGAAGCAAAAGGACACAGTAAAATAAAGTAGCAGGTGAAGAAAAACAGAGGTTCTATTAGGGACTAATGCGATTAACTATAGGGAAAAATATTGGGCAGGCATCTAGAATGCCTAGCAGTAAAGGCTCTCAAGGGATTTTACAAATGTCGATTGCACTTCATGGCTCTTCTCATTTTGAATTTAGGTAAACACGTGCAAAGGTTAAATGACCACCCAAAGTAAGCAAAGTTGTGACAAAGCTGCTAATAAACTCCAGGAGTCTAGATTCCCTGCTCTAAACATTGTATGTTGTCTTGTGGGCTTTGTACCATTCCATATAGCAGTGACCTCAATTAAATACAGAGTTAAATGGATTTATAAAATGCAGTATCCATGTTTTAATATTGTTATAAATAATTCTATCAGCTGTATTATTACATCGCCTTACATTTTAGATATTGTACAGCATGGCCACAAAGAACCTAAGGGCCATATCCTGCTGTACTGCATATTACAGGGAGTCCTGGTAGGATTCAAAAGAATACCTCAGGCATGACTAAGAAGAGCAGGATTTAGCACTTTTTATCAGTTTCTTATCTAAACAGAAACTCCACTAGATCCCTAAAGCTTTTAACTCCCTGGAACAAACCTGCTTCTGCTGTCTGACCTCACTGATTGGCTCCTTCATGTCAATCTTCTGGCTATAGCTGGTAGGCGTCTGAAGAAACTTGTTGTTGGCTGGAGTGAAATACTTGTATCTTGGTGTAGGTAAATCCTGAGGTGGCAGGTGAGCCATACCCTCAGTGTTGATCAGATTTCTCATTTCAAGAGTTAAGGGAGTGACTAAACCAACTGCTAAAGGATTAGGTTCTGCAACCCCACGCTGCTACTCAGAAAAACATAAATATTATGTATAGGCAGTAATAATATGAAGGTACCATGTTACAGAACATGCAAAAAAGAGTTAGCTACAGGTGTTAGTTTTGTACAATAAGCATTTGGTGTTCTGGCTAAACTCTAAGGTTTAGTGTAAAATTAAACATAGCTACTTAGAATCTACAAGTAAATAATGTAATGGCTTAATAGTAAGAGAGAAGTAAAAATTAATCCAACTAAATGAGTATCTATTAAAATTATGCTTAACCTTTACATTTCTAGTATTTCTAGTAGATGGGTTGCCAAAGATTGATACAAATTCCCATTTTATTGATATCTTCTTCCCAAAATATTTTCATATGACACCCAAAGCATTACATTACAAGACTGTGTACAGCATTGTAGCTGTCTGTAGGAAGTATCTCTTGGGATTCAGAATGAAAGAATAGAAGAAATCATACCCAAAAGAGATTTTGCAATACAGGCAACACCTGGTTGTTCTTACCAGGTACTGCTGCAAACACCTCTAATACTTCTACTAGAAACATGTTTCCCACTGTGTATTTAGATAACACTCCCTTATAACATTATCAGCCACCTTGAATCCAACCAGGGTACTAATATGTTGCTACCACAAAGCACCAACTGCACTATGAGAGCGCAAGTGAAATACTTATAATTCTCAACTGTACTCTTCACAGACCTGCTCCCTTCTACCTTGTCAAGAACTAACAATTACTGTTTTAAATGACATACACAGTTCAGAAAGGACAGTGCTCTTCTATACTGATGTCTTGAAATTATCATCTGCCACAGAGTTCTGTGCCTCTGCATCTTAAATTTCCCTGCTTTACCACTAACATAAAAGATGGATGTCAAGAGTATCCGTGCTAACCCAAGTGAAGAATCATAGAAACTAGGCCTGGAAGAGACCTCTGAAAGTCACATAATCCAGCGCCATGCCTCAAATCATTCAATAAATCCTTCTCTAACTTATAACCAGGGTTCCTGGTTTCCCCCGATAAAAATAAATAAATAAAAAAAAAAAAATCACAAATTCTCTGATAAAAATACCCAAAATCCATGATTAAAATTAAAACCCAACCCCCTCACTGGTGCCTCTCATTCCTCACAACCCCCCAAGCCCTGCTCATGCTCCTCACTCCTCCAGCATCCTCTCTGGCACCCCTCACTCCCCCCACAGCCCACCCACACTGCTCATGCCCCTCACTCCCCCCACAACAGCCCCCCAACCCAACTGGTGCCCCTCACTCCCCACAGTTCCCCAGGCTTGCTTGTGCCCCTTGCCACCCACCCACAGCCCCTGCCCCCCAGCCCTGCCAGACGGGGCCCCCCAGCTGCCAAGGCTATAGGGCCAGGGACCCAAGTCCGCAGCTCCCTGCCCCCAGCAGAAGGCAGCAGCTGCTGCAGCAGAAGGAGCAGAGCCGGCTCCCCCACTGCTGCTGCCTGCTGCAGGCTTAGGCAGGGGCGAGGCTGGCTCCCAATGGCAGTACACACTCCTGGGGGGCAGGGGGGACCCGCGCCCTCCAAATCTGTGCAGAGGGCAAGGGCAGGATGAGTGTGTACAGCAGACTTGTGATCCCCAACCTACTGCCTTCCCCGGGGCCTCCGCAGCACAGCGTGTGTGATGACCCAGCACAGCAGGGCACAGAGGGGACATGCAGGAAAGCTGCTTGCCTCTGGAGCTCCGCAATGCCCTGGCAACACTTCCCCTGCAGGCAGGGGCAACAGTGAGGGGCACAACCCTGAGCTGCTACCCACACTGCCCCCATGCACACAGGGGAGGTGCGGCCAGGGCAGCATGGAGCTTGCAGCAGCAAGCAGCTTTCCTGCGTGGTCCCACTACGCCCTGCCAAGCCAGGTTGCACAATGCACTATGGAGGACCTGGGGGAGGGCACGAGGGTGGGGAGCACAAGTGTGCAGCGCACACCTGTTCTGCCCCATGCACAGATCTGGGGTCTGCGGGTCCTCTCTGCCCTCCTGGTAGTGCGTGGAGCCAGCCCCACCCCCCGCCCCCCAAGAAAAGCCCAGTCTACAGTGCGTGGACCAGGAGCCGAGTGCTATCAGCCAAGCGGACTCAGTGCCTCCTTGTGTGGCTTCCCACACTCCTGAAGGAAGCCACACAGAGGTGCAAAGCCAGCCCACAGCACATGGACCGGGAGCAGTGCGCTATCGGCACTCCACGATTCCATGTGCGGCTTACCTGCAGGGCCAACAACATGGTGCTCTGGATCCATGTGCCACCGGCCGTGCGGGCGCTCCATGTGCGGCTTCCCCCAACATCTCTCCACATCCTCCGCCACATACCAACACTCTGCCCCACACCTGCCCCGCCAACTTCCTCCAGTCACCTACACCTGCCACCCGGGGCCCCCTCAGCCCTGCCAGTGCCCCCTAGCCTTTACCTACAACCCCTCAGCCCCCTGCAAGCCCCACTTACCTCACAGGCTCCAGGAACCAACAGTGAGCCTGAGTCAAGCCCTGGGTGAATGCGAGCCTCAGGCCCTGCCCTTTCCCCCTCTCCCTCTGGGCAGGGCTGAGGGTTTCCTGCCCTTTCTGCAATCAGCTCTTGCAGGTTGGAGCTCTGCCACCTGCACGGCTCTTTGCAAAAGGGGGAAATCCACAGGTATCTTTGCTAAAAGGGAAAATCCGCTTTTTCTCTGATAAAGTCGGGAAATCCATGGTTTTCTCTGTTTTTCCATGAGAAATGGAAAACCCGGATCCCTGCTTGTAACTAAAACAATATCAGCCATGTTACACAACTACAAGGGCACAGCATTCTAACCTGCCACATGTAAAGCAGGGGAACAACAGTGGGCAGTGTCATGCTCCTGCAAGCATTGTAAGAGATCTAAGAATCTCTTAATTGAAGAAAGCTTAATTTAAAATTACAGGTTAGAAATGAGTAATTTTTTATGTTAATTAATAAAAATATATCATAGACTTAAGATTAGTTGCATGCTAAATATAACCTTACTTTTTCCAAAGACATTGAGTGTATTTTTCAATAAATATTACATACATATAAATAGTTATTTAATATTACTGCATATTAGTAAATATATATTTGCTTATATTTTGAAAACAAAGATTCAACGTAAAATTGAAACTGCATTACAGGTCTTAAAAAAGAATTCAGTAATAGCATCACCCTTATTTCTTACTTTCTTCTTACTTACCAGTTTATCATTTTCATTGGGCATTTCAAAGACGCATCTTAATTTCGAGTCCATTAGTTCATCAGGTTTTGCCTCTTTCCACTAAGACAAAAATGTTTTATGGTTACTTAACATGCAACATTCATCCAAACCAAGCACTTAAAACAGTTCTAAAATGATTTATCTCCGAAAAACACATTTTTGAATACTGGCTTTATTCCAGCTACAGTCTCCAGATTTTAGTTTTCAAACAATTATTTGGTATTCATTACTTATTACTATTTGAATAACAGAAGTTCAAGGTATGTAAAAGCTATGGACTGGAAATAAAAGAGAATAAGTGGAACATACTGCAATGGAACTGCTCAATTTTAAAGCAAAAAGAACTAAAAGATGACTTTCTAAAATGGGTAGGGAACCAAAAAAACTTTTACCGTACTTAGAGGTGCACTGATACACGTCAGTAACATATCGAATCGGCACCAATAACAGGAAAATTAACATTATCAGCAATCAGCTTTTTTTGGCTGATAACGTCACCAATACATGTTGCATGTATGCATACAGCTACAGAATGCAACTCAGCCAGGAATGCAGCCCAGCAGCTTGGAGAGCAGCGTCCACCAGGTAAGTCTGGGGGAGGGAGGAGGGGGACACATATCAAGGCCCCTAGGTGAGGGAGGGAGTGGGGCAGGGACAGACGCTGCCCTCCCAGGGCAGTGAATGAGGTAGCGCATGAGATGGAACTGCAGGCAGCTCGTCTAGGGGGCGCAAGAGCCTCCCTGTTGCTGCACACACCACCAAGGGAGGCATGGGGGTATGTGCCCCCCCCCCCCCCCCCAGATTTGCACATGGGGGTGAGGGTAGGCTGCCTGCTGCAGGCTCGGGGCCAGGGGCTGCCCCAGCCTCTTCCCAGTGGGGGGGCTGGGCCAGGACTGTGCTCGGGGCAGGGCAAGCTCATGCCTCCCCAGGGATGCACAGAGCAGCAGGGAGCCACCCCGCCTCCCCATGTTCCCCCAGAACAAGCAATCTTCAGCCCCGTCCTGCTCCCAGTCCCAGGGTCCCCATCACCAGCCCGGAGGGCAGCACCTGCCCCTGCCCCACTCCCTCCCTCACCATGGGGGCCTTGATCTGCCCCTCCATGCCCCTTTGCCCCCAACAGACTTGCTGGCAGGAAGCTGCCGGGCTGCATTCCTGTAAATCGGCTATCAGTATCGGCCAAGAAAACCTTTACCGGTGCATCCCTAACTGTATAATAATGTGGCAAAATTAACAATCATCTTATCCTTTAAAATAAATCTTTTCAGAATGTTTCAATAGGTGTCCACAATCTAAATTTCTGGACTACTATCAGTTTGTACAATTTAACACAGAGTCATTTGGGCCTACAAAATAGTAAACAGCTTATAAACATTATGAATTGCTCAAAGCCAGCATACATATATTTAATGGTAAGAGATGCTAGAATATTCCTGCCTACCCAACTGAGTTTTTAAAACTATGAGGTATGTCTTTGCATGCTTGACACAAAACACCTATTTCCAGGACAGATAAAACCAAGCCTCACTGTACAGCAATCAGAACATTAAATTTGGATAAGACCTTTCAGAACAACAAACATTACACTGAGCTAAGATACAGAAAATTTACAATAGAAAACCTTTTAAGACACTAACTACTGCTTCTCTGGTATGATGACAATCGCCTAATGAAACTGCCTAGCCAAATGTGATGAGAATAGACACTACAGGACCTGATAACCGTCCTGGTCTGAAAAATGGTGCCAGGAGAAGATGCATGTCACAGCTACATATGAACTGCTATTTTTGGAAAATAACTTCAGAAACACTAGACTACATGTATCCCATAAATTAGTTTTATAACCAATCCTTGAATCAGTATATTGTTATACATTTCTTCACCTTCTATTCCATAGATTTAAAAAAACAACAACATGCAAGTAACAACACACTTACTTTAATAGGAGTAGATGCATGATATGACTAGATACTGTAATGGTAATTTTGGTATGACTACATATTTATGAAATCCTTAATAGCTACTAATACCAACTTTCATTTTAACTTTTTTTGCAGATACCTAAAAATCACTCCTTATACCAGATGGTCTCTCTTCAGTTGAGCAAGCTGTTTGTTGTGGTGTACAATTTTAGTCAGATTGTTGCATCTTTTTCCCCTTTTATGTTACATTTCTTTCCCTTACAGAAGGAAAGAATCATCGTAGTCTTTTGACCATTTCTTCCAATCACTCTTCCTGGGCCGCCACTTTCCAACAATATTTTTTCCACTATTATTCTTATATGCACAACCTCTACTTTTTGCCCTCAGACACAATCCATCCTATTAAGCTACTAAATCTTTTCTTGCTCAGTCTTCTTTCATACCAATCCTATCTGGCAACAAACCACATAACAAACCAACTCAACCTACAAATTTACTTCCTCTCCCAGAAATAAATGTTTCTGCATAGTCTGCCTTCTTGAAGAAAAATACATACCTCCCATTCTCCCCTCAAGCTGTTCTGATTTTTCTGAAAACACATTGTGTGTGTTAGTTAACTCTTTGTGAATCAAATAACGCCTCTGTCATTAAAACTTGCCATGGGCTTGATGTTTCCATTTTCTCAGAGTTCCTTCAACCTTGACCTGTTTACAGTCTCCCTATTAAACACTTGTAAGGTTCAGTAAACCCAAGTTATAATAGTCAACTTATCCCTCCATTGGTATGCACACTTATTTCCTTATTCACTTAGCTTTCCCCTTCAAACAGAGCTTAAGTAGGTCAAAAGTACCAATGACATATTTGTGCATTTATGATTCAAAATCTTGGATCATTCACGTAAGCCAGATTTGTTCAAGGGGAAAAAAACCTAGCCTTTTCCAAGAATAAGAGTTAATCACGAAACAGTTTGATTTCAACATATTACACAACAAAACATCTTGAAGAAGACAATATTCGTTTTACTTACCACTGCCTCCATATCTGAAATGTTTGGTGGTGCAAAGATCGTCTGTACCATAAACTTGTGTTTACTCTTCTCATTGGGGTCATAATCAAAAGGCTGTAGCATTACTGTTCAAGAAATTAAGGATTAAGATTAATGCCTAGTTCTTTAAATGATAACATGATGCAAGCATTCTAATCATTTTAGACAACTCAATTCTCATTTGAGTAGCCACTAATAAATCTCTAACACAAATGGAGTGGTGGAAGTGGGTTGAGAGGAATATGATATGATAACAGCCATGAACTAGAAACAAATCTTAAAATTATTTAGGGCCTATTTAATTAACAAACTCTCATTTGTATTAATGTGGTTTGGACTGAGGCTATACTGTGGTAATTTTTTTTAATCCATTCCAAAAAATAATTAAGAAAACAAGCGTAGTTTACCACAATCCACTGTTTTCTTTCTGCAATGTAATCACCAGAACTATGATATATGACACAGGTTTGTAGAGTCAAATGTATACTATGCCTCAAGTAAATGTAAAGACACAGGACTGAAGAGAAGATGGTAGTGACAACCAGGATCTATGACAAAGATTTTTCAGGTGGTGATAGCTGGGCCAGTTCCCATCTGTCATTGTGAGAATGACACTACAATGGTGGGGAAGCACATACTTCAATTAGGCCCACTCCTACAACGCTCTACTCCTATGCTCTACTCCCAGACTCCAGGTCTGGACACCACTTCCTCCATGGTTCTGGCAGTACAATCTTCAGTCTCCCCCATCCCTGGGGTGCGGCTAAGAGAGCCTCAGGGGCTCCCTGTAGCACAGCACAGCAAGGTGCCTCCTGTACAGCACAGTAGGAAGGACCTACAAGGTGCTATGTGCAAGGCACAGGAGTGCTGGGATAGTAGTGGGGACGGGGAAGGACGTATGAGGCCCATGGCCTTTCAGGAATTGGACAGTCCTGCTCTACCATGCTACTTATGCAGACTCAACATGCTCTGACTATATAAACAGAGCAAAACCAAATTCGGTAGAAAAGGGGGTAAAGCATAAGATGCCTTTAAAAAAAAGTTTAATATGATACTAAAAAGACCTAACATGCCTCATTCATAAATCACAATTATTGCAAGTCACCACTAGAGGGAAAATCTGAAGTTGTCTGAGTGTTCTTTGCCTTTAATATGTTTGGGTTAAGTGTAACTTTAATTTCCTGGGTTTATAAAGCTCTGTTATGAGACACCTAATGGGATCATACCTACAATACAATTTGTTCAGGCACTGATATTTGAAAATTAACTCAGGTTGTAACTTTTTTTTTTTTCTGTCTAGAAATATTCAAAGCTCCAGGTACTACAAGCAGAGTTTCTACAGCTAATATCTTCGATTTGATGCAGTGGGACATTGAAACGTTTACAGTAGCTTTACTTAAAGGTTATGAATTAATCAAGTATAAACATACAATCAGTACAGTAGCTCCTGCATTTTACTTTAAATTTACTCATGTAAAGACTTTCCGTTTTCAACATAATTTTTCCTTATCAATATTCCATATGAAACAAGTTGCTGGGGAAAGCTGGAGCTTTGAGCACCAAAGTTTAGGCATTAATTACTAGGTGTCATTTTAGGTTGCAGTTTAGCTGGATATTTTTGCTAGACTCCTCAGTACTGATATAGTGTCAAAATTATATTTGCATCTTTAGGTTTCACAGTTAAACGAAGTTACCTTCTGAAAGAAGAAAATGGCAATTAATCTCTCTCAAAGTTATTACGTTAAACTATTTACAACATCAGTTAATCACACAGCATCAATTACACATTAAATGTTTTCAAAGATCTTCAAAATTATGAAGAGTAAATTATTTTAAATGAAAGGTTAGGTACTGAAGCAAAGTTCTGCAACAAAATACAAATTCTATTACAAATACCTCACTCCCCTTTCCCCCCACATATCTGCAGAAAGGGTTTCCAGTACCTCAATTCAAGTAGGTTATCAATCATCACCAAAAATGGCATAAATTAATCTTATTTGGTAAAGGTACCCTTTTTAAAGTAGAGATTTGAGTGGCCAATTCTCAGTTATTGAAAAGAGAACATTTCCAGTTCATGTCTTTTTATAACTTGTTTCCTTTCATTTATATTTAAAAAAAAACACTTCAGATTACTGTAATTTTGCCAATACAGATCTTTTATAACTAAACATCATCATCATGTCTCCTATATAAATGAAAACCTGGAATACAAATCTAAAACTCCAAAGCAAAAGTGAAAGTAATTCTAGGAAAAAAATGATATGGCAACTGCACAACATCTTATACAATACTACCAACTGTGCAAGTATTTGTTCCCCCCCACCTTTCTAATTTTATAGTGGTAAAAAAGCTACTGGAGCCATCTTGTGGTTTAGCTAGGAAAATGCATCTGTAATACTGTAGGCTAGATCCCTACTTGGTTTCATGTAAAATATACAATACATGTGATCAACTTTGTCCTAGAAAAGAACCAATTTTCCACATCTGCCAAAGTACACAGTTAAAAGTTGTCTATTTACATTTAGGAAGAGGCAAATTCTTTAGGTTACGACTTCCTTAAATAATTTATAAATACACGCACCCAAGTAAAATATAGAAAACTAACCTATTCCCTCCATGTGCATTATTTCCTGGAAAAGAGCGCCTCCTGTGTTACAATCCCAATCATGCAGCCATTTCTCTGACTAGCTAGATCACCTAGCATCTAATTAAAGGGGAAAATTATCTGCTTTTCAACAAAAGAAAACTTTAGCACATATGGAAGTTCTAACTTCTGTTTCTGATTTCTTGATGACTAAAAAAGGGGGAGTGTGTTTCTACCGTAAAAGTGTTAAGTACATCTTTACCTTGTTCTGGAAGACTATGGCATAATAAAAAACTAATAGAATCTGAAAAGCAAAGAAAACTGAACTGGAGCAGGAAAGAAGCATTTATTCAACTTGTTTAAAAATATTTATTTTTAAATAGGCTAATGAAAACAAACATCCTGAAAAACACAAGGCTCTCTTCAACCTTTAATGACCAAACCTGTCCAACCAACAGTGGGGGTGGGACAGCTGGAGGGGAAGATAACTACTCCTCAAAGAAGTCCTCCAAACAAAAACAAAAAAATTAAAAATGTAACGTTAAAAGTAAAGAAAATATTTAATCCCTCCCACCCCCATCATACACTTCTAGGAGAAAAGTTGTAAAATAGATTAATTCTCCATCTCTGCCTTTATGAGCAACATCTTTCTTCATTCTTCCCCTCTCTGAAATCTGTACTTATGCAGGTGTCTCAGAGGCACACTAAGTTCAAACACTGGTAGACTGTTACACTACTCATATTAATGATAGGTAGGGATCTCTGTATAGCACACCAGAAGTGCCCCCATGACAACTTCTTTAATGCTTTCATTTCACTGCTTGCCCTCTCCCACCCCTGATTAGTGGGGAGGCCCTGCAGACTGGGCCATATGCCACTGATTGCCAGGAAAGCAAAAAACCTCATCATATTTAAAACAGCAGCAAATGGCCAAGCTGATAGGGACCCTGCACCAACTGAGGCAGGGGAGAACAAGCGGCAAAATGAAAACATTAAAGAAGCTACTGAACAGGGTGCTTCCAGCATGATTTACAGAGACCCCTAATGAAAGCCATTCAAACTGCTGCGTATTAAAAAAAATTTTGGAAAGTGATAGCTTGATATTTGCACATTGCTTTTTATTATAGCATAAATATTACAAAGACTTCTTGACTGCCCCGGTCCATGTATTCCATAAAATGAAGCAGAAAAAATGATGCTGCAATATTTGATACATGTTATTTTACAAAAACTCAGTATGAAGATGGGAGAAGATGGTTTTAGATATTTCTGCTCCCCTGACTCTTTGGTCCCACTGAGAACTAAAACAATTTCTGGAGTAATTTTAAGTGAATTAAGTGCTGCTTTAAGATACAGTGGTCCTGGGACTGCTCTGCAAGTGGAGCACAGGGTGGAACATGCAGCACTCTGATTCACCTTGGATGGGGGAACAGAATGTGTGCATTTCTACTATCAGTGTATTTCCCCCTATGCTGGCAGAAACCTTAACTGCCTATTTAGAAGTTATAAAAGGTTCTTTTGTCACTCAGTGACAAAAATCTGATCCAATTGCCTTTAAATTCAGAGTCAACGGGCTCTTTGGATCGTGTTAAATTTATTACACCTTGGAAAATACTTTAATGGAATCTGGTTATCAAATCGTTTTTGCAAGAAAACTATAGAAGTGGTTGAGAAACATTCTATGTTCTCTTATGTCAACATAAACAGGAACTGTTGTAAGACATAACTTAGTACCCATATGCTATCATAAAAAAACAGCTCGATTCAAAAATTAATATGGCACTGGATTAAAAGACAAAAACATCTCAAAGCAGTTTTGAACAGGGGGTTATCAATAGAGGTGCAATGATAAAAGATTTTCTTGGCTGATACAGATAGCCTATTATTCACCAGGAATCTTCGCCAATACCAATCCGATAACCGATTTACAGGAGCACAGCTGGGCAGCATGGAGAGCAGCTCACTGCAAGCAAGTCTGTGGAGGGGAAAGGGGTGTAAGGGAGGGGACGGGGTGTGGGGGGGGTAGACTGAGACCTCCATGGTGGAGGAAGGAAGTGGGGCAGGGGCACAGGCACAGGGTGCTATCCAGCCAGGGCAGTGAATGGGACCCCGGGGCCAGAAGCAGGACAAAGCTGCAGGCAGCTCATCCAGGTGATCAGCATCTGAGCACTTAAAAATGGCAGCAGGGGCACTTGAACTAAAACTTGTCAAAGGAGCTTTAGTTCAAGCACCACCATTTTTAAGCATAGGGATGCTTCTAGGAACAGAGCTGAGCGGGGCGATGGCAGAGCCAGGCTGCCCACTGTGGGCTTGGGGCTCTCTGCTCTGTTGCCTTTGCCCTGGGAGCTACATGCTGGCCATGCGTCCCCTGCCTACAACTTACCATCCCCACTGCTGCCCTGCTGGCAGGGTGCACACAGCCGGTGCAGGGTCCCCGTGGCAAATGCAGCAGAGAGCCCCAAGCCCACAGCAGGCAGTCCACTTCCAGCCCCCACACAAACGGGGGGGGCGGGGACGACGACGACATGCCTCCCATGCCTCCCCTGGGGGGTATGCACAGCAGTGGGGAACTGCTGCCCTCCCCACCCCTCCCATGCGCCCTGGATGAATTGCCCACAGCTTCATCCTGCTCCCTGCCTCAGCCCAACATCCCATTCACTACCCTGGTTGGGCAGCACCCACAGCCCCACTCCCTCCCTCACCCTGAGGGCCTTGATCTGCCCTCCCCCCCTCACCTCTTCCCCTCCAGACTTACCTGCAGAGCTCTGCTGTCCACACTACCTGGCTGCATTCCTGGCCACATGCATGCTGTGACTGCGCACATGCACGCGGAGTCTGGGAGCCCCAGCCAGAAGGCACGTTATATTTATCGGTGATATTATCAGCTACACCAGCCAAAAAAAAGCTGATGGCCAATAATGTTAATTTTCCTTTTATCGGTGCTGATCCGACATAGCACCGATATATTGGTGCACCTCTCATTATCAATCAATAAATTCTTGCAATGACTTATCTGAGAACAACAAGGGAAAACTACAAGGATAAGTTGCAGCCTGGGAAAGGATCCTTCCAGCAAGTGACTGAAGAAACTCAATCTATTTATGTCCAAGAACCACATATGACATCCTGATCAAAATTTAAAACTGCTTACCAAGAAACAGACATCCAATACTAGAGGATTATAATCTAATAAAGAAACAGTGAGATACAGTAAGTAAAACTGAAGTCCACAAAATTGAAGCTGAAAATTAAGTAAAATTTTATATCTAATCAAAGCGTCTCAGAGTGCAACAAAAAAGCCATGAACTGCTGTTCAACTTCCATGGGATACACAGAAGTGTTACATAATACATCAGGTTAAATAAGAGGAGCCAGCACATACCACCCTCCATGACCATTTGCTCACCACTTTTCTTATGCTTCCCATAACTCAGTCCTTGGGAGTTCAATTTCTTCATTAGTGACTTGGACAACGGGGTAAAAAGCAGCCTGTTTAAATTTGCTGATGATACCAAGATTTGGGGTGACGTGGGCACGCTAGTAGGGAAGGACAGATTACAGCAGGACCTGGACAGGTTACAGGGGTGGGCTAACAAAAATAGGATGGACTTCCATACTGACAAGTGCAGGGTGCTGCACTTGGGCAGTGGGAACCAGCAGCACACTTATAAGCTGGGAAACTCCCTTCTTGAGAGCATGGTAGCAGAAAGAGATCTTGGAGTCATTACTGACTCCAAGATGAACATGGGCCGACAATGCGAGGTCACAGTCAGTAGAGCTAACTGTACCTTGACATGCATCCACAGATGCATCTCAAGCAGGGCTAGGGAGGTGATCCTCCCCCTCTATGCAACACTGGTCAGGCCGCAGCTGGAGTACTGTGTTCAGTTCTAGGCGCCGCACTTCAGGAGGGATGTGGACAGCATTGAGAGGGTCCAGAGGAGGGCCACCCGCATGATCCGGGGACAGGAGGGCAGACCCTACAAAGAGAGGCTACAGGACCTTAACCTGTTCAGCTTTCGCAAGAGAAGGCTGAGGCGGGACCTGGTGGCCATCTATAAACTCACCAGGGGGAACCAGCAGGGTTTGGGAGAGACCCTGTTCCCCCTAGCGCCCCCCCGGGGTAACAAGGATTAACAGCCACAACTTGTTAGAGAGTAAGTTTAGACTAGACATCCGAAGGCACTACTTCACAGTCAGGGCGGCTAGGATCTAGAACCAACTTCCAAGGGAAGTGGTGCTGGCTCCTACCCTGGGGGTCTTTAAGAGGAGGCTTGATGTCTACATGGCTGGGGTCATTTGAGCCTGGTTTTCTCTCCTGCCCAGGGCAGGGGGCCGGACTTGATGATCTACAAGGTCCCTTCCAACCCTACTTCTATGAACTCTTCATCAGTTCCTATACTTCATTACAGGAGAATACGGCTCTGGCTATTCTATTGCCACCTATACTGCTAAGTTGTGGGGACCCCAGGAAGAGTTAGTTATAAGCGTAACTGGATCTGTAGTATCAAAGGTGGACCTCCTCTCCACCACCACCATTGTATCACAAATCCCACTTTTTGGGGGCTGCCAGAAAGGAGTAAGGAGAGAAACAGAGGCAACAGAGGTGGTCAGAGAGAGTCAGCTACGTTCCCCCTCATACCCACCCCATCATGGATCATTCAGGATTGAACATAGGATTTCCTTAAAACCACGTGCTTAGATTGGAAAGGTAATGAGCCATGGGAACATTTGCTGAATC